TGCTTACCTTCAATCCTGAGTGCATTTCTCTGTTGAGAGCCAGTTGACAGGCGTTGCTGGATAAAAGCAAAACCGGTAGGGTTTTTTTTGTAAATTTCATGGAAAATACTGGACTGTCATGTCCAGTCTCTCACATTCTCATTTCTCACGATCTGATTCCCATGTCTGTGTACCAGCAGAGCTCCAGTGAGAACTGCTTTGTGCTGGGTATCATCTGCAAAAGCAAGTTAGGGAGGAATGGAGTTCTCTACCCTTGTTTTTTGTACCTAAAATTTCACAGTTAGTACATTGTTCTTCCAAATAGCTCAATTTTCTATTGCAAATCAGTGAGACAATGGACTGTAAGCAAGACTTTTATTTCATCTGAGACTGGGCTGTATCTGAATGATGTGTGGAATTTGAGAAGGCAAAAAAAAAAAAAAAAAAAAAAAAAAAAATGTCTTTTGTCTGAATAACCATTTTACTGTTCTTTGTCTCCCTTCTTTCCATTTACTTTCCTAAGCAAGCATGTAGTAATATGAGTTAAGGTGATTGTCATTCCTTTTACTAAGCCTTCAGTGTCTTTTGAAAATCTTAAAGTCTTGCTGAGTATAGAGGGAATGGCAGGGATGAAACATGATTAACTCAAATAGGAAGTGTTTTGAGCAGTCAGTTCCACATCAGATAAAAAATTTTGTTTTGTTTTGTTTTAAATTGGTAAGTCCAAGATGTCTATAAGGTGTATAAAAGTAAAGTTTGAGTAGCACACAATTTATAGTGGATTGGAGTGGAGGGATTCACTATAAAAAGGCTGCACTACTGTTTTCTCTTGTAAATCACAGGTGTTCAGAGCAACAAGTTGGAGAGATAATTCATTTTAGACTAAAGAATTCAACTTCTTGATATGTAATAGCCACAGAACATCTTGGGAACTGGTGATATATCACATATGACAAAGGATGAGGCAGCACAGCCCGTAGGGATTATGACATATTGCTGTGAATATTCAGAGCTGCTCTTTCCAAAATAGCCAAATGCTGTTCTGTCTAGAGAAGTCTGCACTTCTTAATGCCCTCTCAGTATTCCTCAGAATAAAAGAGAAATGCTAACTTGAGAGGGCACTAAGAAGTATTTACAGATTCTTAGTTTATTGAGCTATAAGAATGACAGATTCAAGAGCAGGGGAAGGATTTCAGCTTCCACTCTCTGTCTGCTCCCTCCTTAAGAATCTGGTATCTTGCTCTGGAGCACCTATGAGAAATAAGGTTTTTCTGGCTACTTCTAAACAGTGATGCAGACCTGAGTTATCAACAAAATATGCAGTAACTTAATTCCCAGTGCAGCTGATCCTTAAATGGCTGGCCTGTGTGTGACATAAAAGAAGTCATTTATGACACAAAAAGCTTATTTTACTTCGACCTCTGTTCTGAGGTTCTGAAATATCTTTTTTTTTTTTTTTTTTTAAATCAATCTGGTAAATCATACCTGATTAGAATGGAGATTTCTAAAGTGCTTAATTTACTTTTTCAACAAGGAACATTCTCAAAAAGAAAAAAAATTCCATTTTCTAGCACTTTTAGCCATATTGTCTGTACCACCAACTGCACTTGTATGAGGGGCAGGGAATTTGGAAACTATGATTTTGGGAATATGTAAAGTATTCTTTGGGTAAAGAAAAAGGAGGTAGCTATTTAACTGAATTTCTGCATTCTATCCCTCGTTACCTGAGATCTATTGAGGCCTGGTGCTCTCCCAGCTTATGCACACCCAAAAATTCCTCTGCGAATTATTGCTTTGTGTTGATTTACTCAGAACAGCGAAGTGTTGATTTACCAGAACAGCATGCTCACAAAACCTGTCATAAAATAGGCAGCTTTATCTCTAGAACAAACTTCATGCTTATTGTGCTTGTTTTCACCATGATGGACAGTCTGAAGAGTCAGACCAGTGGTATGCACTGAGATAACATTATGCCCGCTGTTGACTAAACCTATCAGATTAACCCACTACTAATTTTTGACTTAACAAATACTAATTACAAATTAATTTTTAAAACATGAAATTTCACTGAACATGGACTATGCATATCTGGAAAGGAATCTTTAAACTGCTTTGGCAATACATAAGGGGGCTAGAAAAATGGGGATGGCTTGTTCCACAGCAGCTTTTCTCTTACCCTCTCTGAAAAGCCTGTTGACTGTTCATTTGGTGGTAAACAGGTTCTTGCTTTCCTAATCAAATATCCCAATAAGAATGGTACAGACTATTGACATTATGTTGATGACATGGCATTTTCACAGAGATTTTCAGGGAGGTTCTCATGCTGTTGGCTTGTAATATTCAATTATTTCAGTAGCAGTAGCTGTATTTCAGCAGAAATTCAAGCCAAAAGACATGAAACACGTTTATATTTTGATTGACCAGAAATGTAACATTCTTGTAAAGATGTTCATAATAAAAATTATCCGTTTTAGACTCCATTGTAGCTGTTCAAGTGAAAGCAGAAAAACATTTGAAATTAATTCTGTGAAAGTGTAAGATATTTTATAGGAAACAGCAATGCCTATTCCAAGTATGTACACTTAAAAAAAGATAAATCAAGATGCCACAGGGAGAAAAGTAGTCTTGAGGCAATCCTAGAAATGTCATGAATTATAATAATTCTATCCCAGACATTAATGCATTTCTAGGCAAGTCATAAAATTTTGAATGAATTGTAGGAAATTGCTATATCAAATGATATAACCAGTTTCTGTAAGGATGGCATATTCAAACTGCAGTCATGCCCTTATTGTACAGAGGATCTTAATTTCACTTAAACATTTTTATAGGCTTTTTGCATAGAACACCGTCTGATTTTAATACAGAAAGTAAAAAATAATCACTGTCTTCCTGTAGCTTGCTCTTCACAGAACTTGCAATAAGTACATTTCCTTTCAAATTAGTTCCTGCAGTGATTTCTGAAGCTTGCTCAGTTAGGAGTTGTATTTTGGTGCGGTGAGGATATAAGACAAAACTCCGTACAGGTCAGTCGGTATACGCACCCTTATGGACCCACGAGTCATCATCTGAGAATTCCCAAACTGAAGCCTTATAGGAAATTCACATAGTTTTTACTGTTAGTAAGCTTAAAAATGGATTAGAAGTATTCATCCTTCCCCCACTTTGTTTCCACCTCTACGATTTCTCGCCTTACTCTTCTGGTACAACATACTTGTCATTAGAATTCAGATTTGTCTCTGCTGAGTTTAGGAGAATAAAATAGACTTCATTATTCATATTTTACTGCAAATTGAAGACAATGAAAGAAGCCAAATAGTCTAATAATTTATTTACATTTTCTAAGTAAATTGTGATGCTGTTCTGTATATCGGTTTTCCATACTGCTTGTGAACACAGAAGATATTAAAAAGCAGAAAGAAAAAGGAAATGATACTTTGCAGTCAGTTTATGCAGTTCATTTTATCATGAGCAGATACTTGCTACTGTTCTATTTCTTTGCTGTTCCAAAATATATTTAAAGAGAATATTGCAAGCCTTATTTGACAGTAATTCTACATCTTTCAGAACTGCTGTTATATGGAGATCATTAAGTGTTTAATCTGTATTTCTGAGCAGATCTATTCTACAGTAGCTGAGGATAAATTAGAAGAATTATCTATTCGTCCATTTTAATTGTGAGACAACTCCTGGTCATGCTCTGAGAAGCATAAACATAGCCCTAACCTTGTATTGTCTATAATCTGTGTAAGCACTTATGGGAAGAATGTGAGTTCACTAGTTTTCCTATCTGTATTGGGAATTGATGATACAGGGCTTGGGGTAAAGATCTTCTACAGTTTTGAGCACAGTGAAGACTTCACCTTACTTTCAGCCTATTGGTACACATTTATATATAAACTTACACGAAATTAAGAAGAAGGGATGGAAACTATATTCTTATGCTGATACAATGATTGGCCAGAAGAATCTTGTCCGCACACAGTGAAAAAGTAAGAGTAGTGCTAATAGGGAAAGTGAGTAACTGCAAGGGAGACAAGGCAAGGCTATTTAGACCCATTCAGCTGAATCAAGCAGAACAGAGATAGCTGTACCAACTACTGTTGTTAAAAAATAGGAATATAGAAAACTGCTATAATTATTTAGGTGAAGTTTTTTTATAGTCACATATTTTTAGAGTAAAAAATTTGAAAACTCTTAAGACTTGTTTCATATCAGATCACCCTCTCAGTAAGCATTTTGTAAAAAGACTGAATAGAAAGTGAATATGAAAATAGATCATGAAAGATTACTTTAAAAACTGAAAGACCTTTGGTACAATTTTCATCTCTCAATGCCTTTTACTTGTTGTATGTAAGTATATCAAAGATAATTTCTCAGTGTTTTCCCTAAATGTAGTCAAAATAGTACATTTTGCTACATTTTAGTCTCTGAAAATCAATACTGGAGTTTTGGTTGTCAATTCTTGTGCTTCCTCTAGTCTTTCAATGCAGGACGTCAATTTTCACATGATTATAAAATGGCTGATTTGGGTCAGAATTGCTTTCAAGTGCAAATTATGTCTGAAGGATGAAAAAGCCCTTATGTTCTGATTTTTGCTATATAGTAACTACAGGTACAGAAAAGAAAACATTGTTGTGAAACACTTGCTGTGACCTGCAGTTCGCATATAGTAGTGGAATCTTCCCAAAATCCTGCATTCTATTTGGCAGATGACAAAAGACCAATTTCATTTTTATAAAATGAGAAACATTGCTGTTTGCCAGCTTGTTATTGTTCACTGCTATGTCTTGATCTAAATAAAAGTTGCTCTGTGGGTCCTGCAGTCTCTGAAGGCTCTACATACACACGTAAATAAGTGGTAAGGACTGCATAGTAGAATTACAGCATTTGTGTTTGGTTCTCATATTAATATGGTATTAGACTTCTAAAATGAATAGGTAGAAAATTGTATATGTTATCATGAGAACATGATCAACCTATGCATCTCTTTAAGATTTTGATTTTTGTTAACTTCTCAGGTTGATACAAGATAATGTAGGAATGGATATTTCCTTTGCTGAGGGTGTACTGAGCCCCAGTTCTACAGAGATGAGGCCTGGTAAGAGAAGCCATTACTCATTTTCTTAATTATAGCTTAGTCCCTTTAATTATGTCATAAGAAAGATGTTTTTGTGCTGCTAAAAAAATAACAAAATAAAAAATGTTAAATTTGTTGTATCTAGTCAATTTTTTTCTTCTTTACAATTATAATTGTACTATGCACTTTCCTCTTGTACGTCATTGCCATTGCTTGTTTAGTCCTTGCAGTGTTTAAGTAGCTGCTATTATTTATCTTGTATGTGAATACTATAACTGAACTAAGTTATTATATAATTGAACTAGGAGTATTTCAAGTACACCTTGAAATGTGGCACATTATGCAGTGGCAAGGGGCAAAGCTATACCTAACTTCTGTTATATTGAAGACTACTTTTGTTTAAGACTAGACTTGAAAGTCAGGGTTTTATTTGTTTGTTTGTTTGTTAGTATTGTTTGGTTATTTTATATTTAGTTATGTCTAAAGACATAGCTCCAAGACATAACTAAAGACATATATTTAGTTATGTCATAAAGGCATACTTACAAATCTTTACTTCTTGCATAGCAGAAGAGGCATAACAAAACAGGCAGGAGATTTTAGCTTATATCATTTTCATTAGGATTCAGCCATGTGTTTGTGATTTAAATATTTTTCTTTTAAATTTTAAACCTTGTGGATCAGACTGTGTGCAGAGCTTGAGTTTTGGTTGGTAACTCTAAAACAGTGTACCTGGGTTTCACATAGTTTAAATGCTTCTAGCTACATCTGCAATCCCTGTACACGCTTGTTGTATTTTTTTAAATATTAATGTGTAATTTTTTTGTGTAGTAGTAGTAGTGACAGTAAGTGGTCTTTAAGTGGGTTGTTGTTTCTAAAATTATCTTTCCCTGTGTGCTTGATAGTGATTCGTAAGTGTGCGGGAGACAAATTTCACGTGGGAGAAATAAAGTTCTCTTTTTTATCTCTTTTTTCAGAACCTCCCAATTCTCTTGATCTTAATGGTACCCATCCCAGAAGGATAAAGCTCACGGCTCCAAATATCAACCTTTCTTTGGATGAGAGTGAAGGTTCTATACTTTCTGATGATAATTTGGATACACCAGATGAAATTGATATCAATGTGGATGACCTTGACACTCCTGATGAAGCAGACTCTTTTGAATACACTGGACAAGGTAGTTTTTTTGAATGTAGATGTAGAATACATCTCTGTTTCTTCGTTTACTGCACTCTTGTCCATTGGGCTATCAATATGTTTAGTGTATTTTAAATAGAGTTTGAGGTTTCCAGATATTTTTTTCTGCTAATTTGTTCTCCTGTGTAAAATAATACATTTGACCAATGCAGACTGCGGAAAGAAATAGTACAGCTAATCAAGTGACAGAATAAAATAAGAGCTGTTTTCAGAGTACCAGAAGAACCATATAGGAACTAAATTCCTATAAAAATGTAAAAAATCATAACTTTTTTACAATTTACAACAGAAGGAAACTTTAAAAAGAAATACATTTAGATTTTCCCTTGCATTTAAATTCTTTGTTGCTAGTTAGGTCACTAGTGTTTGAAAACTGTAGTTGCATTAGTTTAAGTTGTGTTGCTGAAGAGGCTTTACAATGTAGTCAGTCATGCAGAAGCATCTCTAATGTCATTTCTCATTAGAAGACAAATTTCCTCATGGGTAGATACAGAGCATCTGATGAATTTTTAGATGTCTGGAATATTCTGCACCAAAGGATTGATCTAACACACGCACAGAGTTTCATAGTGTTGTGACCAATGTGAGAGCCAAAATCTGTCTGCTGTGTGGCACATTTTGCCTTTTTGCAAGGCCTGAAGTAAGCAAATTCAACTACAGTGATTTTGGTGGCGTTTATATTTATTGAAAGGATTTATCCCCAATTTTTTTTTTATATTTTCTAATTGCGATTATTGGTAATATTTTTACAGTTGTGCAGTTTGACTTTAGATATACTTTGTTGGCAAAGCATCCTTCAATTACTTGAGTCACAAGATAATAGAAAAGGAGAAAAACCACATATTTTATTAAAATAAGCTCTTGATAAAATGAGGAGGTTATGCATTGTGGATCAGATAGCTAACAGTAGCCATAAGGGCTAGAGCAGAGTGTTTTAAATGCATGGTAGCTAACCTCTGTTAAAATCGTTTTCCATTCTGTCACTCTAGTGTAACCAGTACATGCTGTGCTGTTACAGCTTTCATAATCTCCCCCACATCATTGTTTCTGGAATACTGTGACAAATCCATGTAAATACTAAGAAGACATTGCTGTTGAAACTGTAAAGAACAGTGACTTTCTAGCTTGTTACCCTCAAACTGCTAAGGGCCTGTTTGAAATGTAAAAGGCAACTGAGAAAAGCAAGACCCATTGCTAGAAAACTGACAGTTCTATAGAACAAGAAATGCTGAAACCCCCTAGTGTAAAAGAATGATGAAAAAGAGTCAGTACATGCAAGAAGCTAGATGAAAGTGGAAACACTGAAGTCTTAAACTAAGTAAGTCTTAAAACTGACTTACTTAGGGATTGGTAAACATCAGTTTCACAGTTTTTTGACATCTGAACCAAGAAGAAACTGTGCTCAACACGTATCTTTTGTTCTGGGGAGCATCGTATTTTTATCAAATTTTGCGGAATTGCTGAGAAGTTTTATTGCAGAAATTGGTTTTACAAATTAATAATCATTGAATATATATGTGTATTTATGGGTAAGCTTCATGTGTGTTGACACATGGTTTGCACACACAGTCCTTTTATTTCTGGCTTCATAAAGATTATTTAATTCATATGACAAACTTGTGTGGTTTAAGGACCACGTACTTCTATTTGTGTATTTATATGAGCAGCATTAATCAAAGAGGAATCCAAAGACAAAGCAGTTTGTAGAAAGATTTGAGGGCTTTTGTTAAGAATTGTGTTCTTAACATCTCGTCAAATAACGTATCTTCCTCTAATTAATTACCAAATCTTCTTGTGAATCTCTTTCAAATAATACGTCACATGTGTCACAGTGCATTTCACTGTATCTTTACTGCTACCTTATTTCTTGACTTATGTCTTTAGAACCAAAATGATGCTTCATAGATAAGAGTTCATTTCACTGGTTTATTTGAAATGTATATGAAGGATAAAACATGCAGGATTTGTACTATCTTTACTGCTAGAATAAATTATTAATAAACCAATAGACTGACTAATACGTGTTCTTCAACAGGAGTGAGAGAACAAAAGAATATATATATAAAATGTTTAGGATTTTTTTCCTCACAAGAAGGCACTATGTTATAATAATTAAAGGATTACATGAATTTTTTTTCTACCTGTAGACAGAACCAGCTTGTAACTAGCTATTAAGACTGAAAAACTGGAATGAGGTTAAATTTATTGTGAGAGCCTCCTTGTCAGCGTGCTATGGAAGTATAGGTTTTGTTCATAAGCTTCAGGGTTTTTCTGAAGCTAAGAGTGTCCAGCAGAGAGGCTATGCTATGAGACTATAATCTCCAGTCAACCACACAGTTTATTTCTTGTGATCTTTGTGCTTTTGGACACTATGCACTTTCGTATGTCCTGGTATGAACAGGCCAGATTTCCTGGCTGCTTCTTCTCTGGAACAGAGCTGAGAGGGAATTTCTGTTCAGTCTTTCACTTTCGGGAAGGGAATTCAACCTCGGAGAAGAGATCCTGAGGGACATGAATGCTGCATTTGAGGCATGCAGGTAGTCATTACCTTATGACAAAAGCAGAGGAACTCAGATGTACTTACGGCTATTGGATGCAAAGAGATTGGAGGAAAGCAGGGATGGGATGGAGGAACAAGTTCAGAAGCTGTAGCTCTGTAGTAATTCCTCTCTAGACAGGAGACATCCCTGTGTTTGTTTTTAGTTCCAAAATTTTACATTTTAGCACAGTTCTCATGCCAGCAACACAAAGAATTTTTAAGATCTGCAGGTCAATACCTACAGTAAGCAGCTGGTGACTTGTATGTACTTACTGAATGTTACTGGATGTACTTACCAGGTGTATGATCAATGAATATACAGATGTTATAATTATGAAATATACAAGAGAGTTTGGCTAAGCAAGTTATTACACCAAAAAAGAATAGATGGAGTGCTTACCCTTGTCCTAGGCTCACTGTAAAACTCCAAAGGAGGGATCTCCAGAAAGAGATCCTTCCCCGCTTGTGGTCAGCTCTTAATTGTGCCTAGGAGAAGTGGAGCCAGCTCCATCTCTTCCAGCAGCACAGGTGAGTTGCCTTCTCTTGTGCTCTGAGGGCTGACTCATTGCTCACTTCAGGTGATGAATCAGAGGTTCAGGCTGTGATTTAGCAGTTCCCATACACCAGGCAAACACAAAAATTCACTGCTGGTATTGTGCACAGTGGTTATTGCTGTTATTCTTTCTACTATCATAATGATGAGAAGTTAAATAAAAGCGGAAATATAATTGGTAATTGGTATCAACTGGATTTTTATAGCCTGGATCTGTGCTTTTGTAAGAAAACCAGAATTTCACCAGTCAGTAAATGATGTTCAAATGAATATAAAAGGTAAAATATTTAGAGCCTGTACATGAATATGTAATACATAAAATGTTATTTTTCAGAAGAGCGGAATGCTGCTAAGGATGCTTCCCAGGAGGAGTCTGAATCAATTCCAGAATACACTGCTGAGGAGGAGCGAGAAGACAACAGGTTATGGAGAACAGTGGTTATAGGGGAACAAGAGCAAAGAATTGATATGAAAGTCATTGAACCTTACAAAAAGGTTATTTCACATGGAGGTAGGAAAAGTTGGAATGTATTTTTTAGATTGATGTGAAAAATCATACTTTGATAATCATGATTTATTTCTATTTTATTTAGGTTATTCTACTAGCAATGAGATTTTATTTTTCAGCCATAGCTATTAGCAATTAATTGGCAAACTCTATCAAATTACAGAAGTGTTATTGTGTCTTACAACCCATAATGTTATCAATAACAAATTTCAGCTTCGATTGGAGTAGTAAATGAACTACTGACATAGCATCAAAGTGAGCCATCCTATTTTCTGGTCATTCGATGCTGATTCAAAAAATAGTTTGAGTAGATATTATCAGCTGGAGACCCCAAAAGGCCTTCAAAAGATCTGAAGTCTATTACAACTTTTGGAAGCCTAGTGGGAGAGTATTTTCAGAAAAATAATATTTATCCTTGCAAGTCTTTCCTACTCAATTAGAAGATCAGCCAGTGTTTATTTCACACTTTCCTGCAGTTGGCTCTGTACCTATAAAAGTGGTGGCTGACACAGGAAGACTGTAACCTTCACAGATAGACCTGGTCTATATGTGTAGCACGGAGCTAAATTTTTCTTGGAAGAGATGGAGAGCCTAATTTTGATCTGCATTACATTTCTATTGGCAGTGACTACATAAGTGAAACAAGTAACAAAGTCAGATAACCAACATAAACCAGACTTTTCAATCTGGCAATTGATACTTCAAATGCAAAGCACTTTCATATGCAACAAATAATCTGAGATACATGTGCCAGTAACAGTTTAGTCATTGTCCTACAGAATTTTTTTTTTTTTTTAAACTTCATTTTCTTGGTTGTAGCATACTTACTATATCAGAGAATCACAAAATGGCCAGGGTTGGAAGGGACCTCAAGGGTCATGAATCTCCAAGCCCTTTGCCACATGCAGGGCCACCAACCTCCCCATTTAATGCTAGACCAGGCTGCCCAGGACCCCATCCAACCTGGCCTTGAACACCTCCAGGGATGGGGCATCCACAACCTCTCTGAGCAGCCTGTTCCAGCACATTACCACTCTCATAGTAAAGAACTTCCCCCTGACATCCAATCTAAATCTTCCCTCCCTCAACTTAAAACCATTTTCTCTTGTCCTGCTGTTATCTACCCTTTCAAAGAGTTGATTCCCCTCCTGTTTATAGGCACCCTTTAGGTACTGAAAGACTGCTTTCAGGTCACTCTGCAGCCCAGCTCCCTCAGCCTGTCTTCATAGGGGAGGTGCTCCAGCCCCCTGATCATCTTTGTGGCTTCCTCTGGATCCTCTCCAACAGCTCTCTGTCTTTCTTGTAGTGGGGGTTCCAGATTTGGACCTAGTACTCCAGAATGTATGAATGTATGAAGAAGTATGGTGCTCTATGATTGTAGATACATAGGTCTAAATAATTGGAGTGGCAAAAGAAGAAAAATAGTTTTCCTTTGGATTTCTATTGCCATGGTAAAGATCATTGTGTTATTTTTCTGCCATTTATAGTCGAAGCACAATATAAATTGTCTTGAAAGTCTTCTAAGGATTTTTAATCTATGTAATGGTAATCTCCTCTGTGTTTGTAAGGCATAGGAAAAAAATACTGCCTTATTCCATAATATTTTACCAAAGGATAGATAGGTTAACTCAGTGCTTTCTCTTTGAAACTGCATGGGACTATGTCAGAAAAAAAGACATAACAGAGACTTGAATTAAGGGGTGAGTGTGTGAGATGAAATCTAGTTTTCTTCTTTTTATTTCTTTTAAGAAAGTTTTGAAATTCCTACATGTCAAGCTCTTAAAAGGTGAAAGAGCTGAAAAGTGGAATGGAGCTTCCTCCCCTTCCCTGCATACGTCTATGCTAAGAATGTGATGTTACTCTCCATATTTGACGTTAAGATCTTTGCTGTTACACAAGTTCAGTTAGCCATATCTATGTCTAATGCAGTACTACTTGTTAGTACTGCTGGATCCTAACATCAGCTGGAGCTGTGCCACCTCATGCCATGTCACATGCCTTAACATGGTTTTACCTGCATTCTTCTTTGGCTTGAACTCATTTGCTAATTCTCAAGCTTTTTTCCCTGTCTGTGTTTTCCAAAAAGATGGGGAACAAGGCAATAGTGTGGAACTGCAGAAAACAGTGGACTTGCTGGATTGCTGTTGTGTGGTGGCTTCTGTAGCTGCAGAAGCATATCTACAGATTAAGTAACCTCTGAGACCAGTGAGATATTACTGCATGGAATTTGGACATCCCTTCCATCTCAGAATTATGGAAGGAATGGAGTTTAGGCTAATGATAGGAAGCTGTCTTCAGTGTACAGACTGTTCTGAAGTGGATGAAGTCTTGGTTTGCATTCTCAGCTTGATGTTAACAAAATAAATAAGTGCTACTAGCTTGTCTAATACATTATATTTACTCAAACCTACCAAATCAAATCCAGAAGGAAAGAAGTCTAACATCATCCTTTAGCAAGCTGCTTTACCAAATCTTCTAATGAAGTAAAATGGCCAAAGGCTTATTTCTGACATGCAGGTTTTTTGCCTCAGGGGCTTATCCTTTCTTCGTCCTCTTTGTAAGTGTTGAGGCAGTGGTGGTTTTCAGGCCTTTGAGGAACAGCTGAGGGTTCTGAATGAAGAGTGCCTTTGTGCTTTTTTATGGGTGGGATGGTGTCAAGACTAAACAGCTGTAATTCTCTTTGACATGCTCAAGGAAAGACCTCATGGGCATATGCCTTGAGACACTCATTTGGTCTGGGAATATGCATTTTCCAAAGTCATAAAAAAGTGACTTCCTTGTCATCAATGTCATCTGGTTTTCCTACTTTCAGCTACTTGAGACTCAAGTGCTGAGTGATAAAGGAGAAAAAACAGTCTCTCAGTGCTTTCCCAGTTAGCACACACAGACAGTGTGCCTTTCCATGAAGTATTCTGTTTTGTTCTGCTGCTGCATACATCGAATCATAGAATCAAAAGGTTGGAAAGGACCTGCAAGATCATCTAGTCCAACTGTCTCCTCATCACCATTGCTAGCACAAGCTACTAAATCATATCTCACAGCTCCTCATCCAGACGCCTCTTGAACTCTGCCAGGGACGGCAACTCCACCACCTCCCTGGGCGGCCATTCCAGTGCCTGACCACTCTCTGAGAGAAAAAGTTCTTCCTTATATCCAATGTAAATTCCTCTGGTACAACTTGCAACCATTTCCTTGGGTCCTCTTTGTTGCCTGGGAGAAGAGGCCAAATCCCTCTTCACCACAGCCTTCCTTCAGGAAGTTGTAGAGTGCAATGAGGTCTCCCCTGAGCCTCCTCTTCTCCAGACTGAACAATCCCAGCTCCCTCAGCTGCTCCTTGTAAGACTTGTGCTCCAGACCCCTCACCAGTTTCGTTGCCCTTCTCTGGACACATTCCAGGGTCTCAATGTCTTTCTTGTAGTGAGGCCCAAAACTGAACACAGTACTCGAGGTGCGGCCTCACCAGTGCTGAGTAGAGGTGGATGATCACCTCCCTGCTCCTGCTGGCCACACTATTTCTAATGCAGGCCAGGGTGCTGTTGGCCCTCTTGGCCACCTGGGCACACTGTCGGCTCATGTTCAGCCGAGCATCAACCATCACCTCCAGGTCCCTTTCCTCTTCACACTCATCCAGCCACTCACCTCCAAGCCTGTAACGCTGCATGGGGTTATTGTGGCCAAAGTGCAGTACCTGGCACTTGGCTTTGTTGAACCTCATCCCATTCACCTCAGCCCAGCAATCCATCTTATCTATATCCCTCTGAAGGGCCTCCCTACCCTCAGGCAGATCAACACTACCTCCCAGTTTGGTGTCGTCTGCAAACTTACTGAAGGTACACTTAGTCCCCTCATCTAGGTCATCAGTAAAGATATTAAGCAAGATGGGCCCCAGTACTGACCCCTGGGGGATGGGGACACCACTTGTAATGGGCCACCAGCTGGATTTAACTCCATTTACTACTACCCATTGGGCACAGCCTAAAGAACTGCCTGTCCAGGCCATGGACAGCCAGTTTCCCAAGGAGAATGTGAGAGACCATGCCAGAGGCTTTGCTGAAGTCTGGATAGATTGCATCAACAGCCTTTTCCTAGTCTACCAGTCTGGTCACCCAGTCTTAGGAGGAGATGACGCTGGTCAAGCACGACCTGCCTTTCATGAAGCTGGGCTGGCTGGGCCTGATCCCCTGGATGCCGCCCACGTGCCATGTGATCTCACCCAAGATGATTTGCTCCATAACCTTCCCTGGTACTGAGGTCGGGCTGACAGGCCTGTAGTTCCCCGTATCCTCCCTACGGCTCTTCTTGTAGATGGGAATCACACTGGCAATCCTCCAATCCTCTGTGAGCTCTCCAGATATCCAGGGGCACTGGTAGATGGCTGACAGCGGCTCAGCAATCACCCCCGCCAGTTCCCTCCTCACTCTAGGATGGAGCCTGTCCGATGCCATGGACTTGTGACAGTCCAGATGGAGGAGGGGCTCTCTAACTCTCCACCTGACTCACCAGGGTGGTATTCTGTGTAGCATCCCAGACTTCCAGAGCAGAGTGTAAAGTGCCCTGAGGATAACTGATCTGCCTATTAAAGGCAGATGTAAAGAAGGCATTGAGGACATCAGCCTTCTCCTTATCTTCAGTGGTCACATTCCCCACTGCATCAAGTAAAGGATGGAAATTCTCCTTGGTTCTTCTCTTAGTATTGATATATTTGTAAAAGGATTTCTTATTTTCTTTGACAGCATTGGCCAATCTGAGTTCAAGTTGGGCTTTTGCCTTCCTGACTTCTTCCCTGCCTACCTTAGCAACTTCCTTGTAATCTTCCCAAGTAGCTTGTTCCTTCTTCCAGACTCTGTTTTTCTTCTGAGTCTCAACAATAGTTCCCAGTTCATCCACACTGATCTTTTTTCTCTACAGCTTGCCTTACAGCATTCAGGGACAGCCTGTTCTTGTGCCTTTAAGATTTCCATCTTGAGGAGTACCCAGGCTTCCTGGACCTCCTTACCCCTAAGGAGCAACTCCTCACAGACCTGTGCTACAAGCATCCTGCACAGGTCAAAGTCTGCCCTCTTGAAGTTCAAGATAGCGGTTTTGCTAGTCACCCTTCTGACATCTCCAAGTATACAGAATTCTACAATTTAATGGTCACTCGTTCAAGGTACAAGGTGTTTTATGAGTATTTCATTGAGTCTTGAGTACTATTCACTAGTATCCAAAAAACACTGTAAAAGTTTTCAGCGTCTTATGAAAGTGGTGCAGGGGTATTATCCTGGAATTTTCCTGGGAACGTGTTTCTATCTCCAAGGGAGGTGCAGAATTTCCTCCACAAACATTGTCTCCTTTGTGGTTAGTTTTTCCTAGCCTGTTCTGAAAACCTTTCAAATCTTCTTTCTTAATATATCCAGCCTTTATTTCTGTATTTCTTTAGTGGTATCTACACGCAATAGTTCTTCCAAATCTGCATAGATTACTTTTTCTTTTCTCTTATCTTTTAAATAAATCCCAGACTTTCAGCTGAAGTGCAGAAGTATTTTATGTCTGTTTTGCAACAGTATAGCAACTGAAAAGAACTGTGAAGGAGATTGACCAGTATTAATATATCATGAAAAATAGCATATTTTTTTTCAGGTAGCAAGTAATCACCCAGGAGCACAGAAATGTAGCTGTAGTTGTAGCTTTGAGAGGTTATCATTAGGCAATGGTGGAGACAGGAGAACACAAGTACGGGGCAATTGGAGTATCCAAGATAAAGAAATACTTTATACAAAACTTGCAGCAAAGTATTTAACTGATCCTCAAGAGTTCTTAAAACACAGTGTCATGCAGACATACTTATAATATCCCGAGGCCTTTGAAGCTGCACAAGCCAGCTGAAATTGGATTTCAAGTCCTTAGTAGTCATTATCGTAAAGATGCAGGATGGCAAATGGACGATATTTTCTCTACTGCTTTATTCCTAAGGCTAAGGTGAGCATTCAGCACACGATTGCAATTGAGATGTAATGAGCCAGGAGTGCAGGTAACATTGTATTACTTACAAAGTAGAATGATGTTTTTTTTCTTGCTCTGTTCTATAAAAAAGTTTGCTTGTAGTTGTGTTAAGCCTGTGTTCCAGGAATTAAATGTTACTGATTATCCTTCATTATCACTTGATAGTCATTCATTTATTTTGCATCTTCTTCAGCAGTAGATATAATCACTCTATTCCAAGACTTAGAGATTTCTTTTTAAATCTATCTTGTTAGGAGCCTTTGACAAAGATAAAAATGCCTTTTTGTTTGTTCCACAGGCTACTATGGTGATGGTCTGAATGCTATCATTGTGTTTGCTGCGTGCTTCTTGCCAGACAGCAGCCGAACTGATTACAACTATGTCATGGAAAATCTTTTCCTGTGAGTGTTATGTGTACAGTATGACAGAGTTGTCTCAAAATTCTGTAGTGAGAGATAACCTGTCTTTAATGAAGAGCTAATGTGGGTCATTAGAAGGGATGTGATTGGAATGACAAGGAGAGTAGCAGTTTTAGGCATGCCTAAAACAGCAACTGGTCTATCTCAATCCACAGTGAATAAGAGCTGTTGTGGAAAAGTACTTGAGATAAATGAGATCTGACTAAAATATCACAAAAGCTTCCTTCTTGTTGCAATATTTCTCTTTATTCCTTATTATGAATGTTCATTATTGTAATTGATTGTTCATAATATTCACAATTTCCTTGTGGCTGAGTAAATAGGGGCATAAACATTTGTCAGATTTTTTACTTCAACTTTTGTCACTTTTACTTCAACTAGAAGGGTGGTAGTGTTTTTCCAAAGTACTTTCTTTCTCAGTACACTTTTCTGCATGTTTCACTGCCTAGATTTGTTTACAGCCCAAGAAGTTGCCTTTTATGAGAAGGGCTGACTTCATAACCTGTCAAGTGGTCAGTAGATTCATTTAAATTTAGCGTTTTTTTATGAATGTGTTGTGCCCTGGGCAGTGGAGAGCTGTGCTGCACAGTGAATCCAGATTTAACCCTGCACATGCTGGACCAGCTGCATATTGCTGCTTGTTAGTAGGCCTTGTTTTTCTCTGCATCAGCTACGGCCTTGTTCGAACAATCCCACTCTTTCGTACTTCAGTGTAAGGAGGCAGAAGCAGCAAATGCACTAATGGCAGGTAGGAAAGAGCAATGAAAAGCATTTAGTGAGAAGTAGTCTAGATGGATTTATCAAATGCATGACACTATTCAGTCAGTTGCTGCTTACTTCCTGTCCAGTTAAAATATTATCTCTGTGATGAGAACCAGATTTTCTGTTCTTGTTTTGAAGAATCTGAATTGTGAGGAGTTAAAGGGTCAGATTAGATCATGAGTCAAGCACATATACCTGATAAAAGGGTATTGTGGTCAGCGATACAGCTGCCTCTTACAGTGAGAACTCTCAGGCATTCAATTTTCTAAGGTGTGTCTCAGTATTTTTTCACTGTAGTTTTTACACAAACATACCTTGAGACTGGCGGGCAGAGAGTTCAGTTTGAGCACACAAGTGAGGATGGCACTTCTGAAACTGATCAGAATATTTGCATGTGGACAAGAATTTAATGCTACCTTTTCATGTAACTCAATAGTCTGCTTTCTGGTGGGGTGTATTTTGTCCTGAGAGTAATGGTCAGTCTAAATACTCTTTGCAGACCTGATAAATTTGGTATTCAGAGTGCTTTGCTCACAAAATGCAAGAGCTTGAACTGTTCTGTCCCATCTGAAGACAGATTGACAATCAAATTCTATTAGCTCTGAGAATCCAAAGGCTTGTAGCTGACAGTCACAAAGATTCAGCAGTGGTAATCTGAGAATCATAAGAATTATAGACTGGTATTATCCCAACCCTTTTAATTTTGCATTGAACAAATGTGGTGATTAGTACTGAAGAGATATTTCTCAACAGTTGATCTTATAATGGCCTGAAATTTCAGTCAGTCCATCCATGCTCTCCCTCACAAACTCTCTTAATTTCAACATGTATTAAAAATAAATAAATAAATAAATAATTTCTACTCATAGTTATAGTGGTAGCATTGCGACCAGTTCTAAATTTCTGCTTTAGGTTTAAAAGAAAATAAAACTTTGTCTATAAATTACTGGTCTGTCTTAATGTATTCCTAATAGATGTTTTTTTACTGTATTTAAATAGATAAATATGTGCTCACTTACTTCTATTCTTTTACCAGGTATGTAATCAGTACCTTAGAGCTGATGGTAGCTGAAGACTATATGATTGTATACTTGAATGGAGCTACACCAAGAAGGAGGATGCCTGGGCTGGGTTGGATGAAAAAGTGTTACCAGATGATTGATCGTCGGTGAATAGTATTTTTCTTTCTGATCCACAGCCATTGTTTTAAGCACTGTTCATTTCTGTTGTTCCTCAGTATGATAGTGTTCATTATATATTATTTTTGTGAATGGTTTTCTTTTTTATTAACCTTTTAAATAAACTATTTTTTTCCTAGTTTAAGGAAGAATTTGAAATCGTTCATAATTGTCCATCCGTCATGGTTCATCAGGACAATTCTGGCTGTGACACGACCTTTTATAAGGTATGTAATGAACACTAGTTATTTGTTATGTCCCAGGAATTCAGAATACAGAAAGAATACAGAAACAGCCTAAGTAATCCGAAGTGATTGTTGATCTCTCACTGACACAGTTCAGTTGAAGGTGGCTTCCCTACAAAGAGTGGGAAAAAAGTTTATTTATTTGACTTTTCTGTTGTTTAACTATATATGCACATGGAATTCTGAATTTTTTTTTTTTATTTTTTTTTTTTCTTTGTCTGAGCCCATCAGAAAGGCTTGAAGAAAAGGTTCTGTGGACCCTTTTCACTTTGTGGAAAAAAAAACTTGACTAGAGGAAAGATTAAACTATTGTTCTGGATTTAAAAAAAAATAGAAAAATAGTAGGTGCTTATTCAAGAAGACTGCCCTGAGATGTTTGAGAATGTAGAAGAGTTGTTTCCAAAAAATTTCTCTACCACCCAAAAAACTCAAAAGAATTGTTAGACACTGAAGACCTTAAAAATGGGCAATTGTATGTCTGGAACCTGGAGATCAGGAGCATACACGGTCAGACATGAGAAAGCATTGCTCCATGCAAAAGAAGAGGCATCTTGTCTACAGAAGCCACGCAGGGAGTATGTCATGGCAAACTGGCCCTAGACTACAGAGGTGAATGCTGAAGATGTCTGTCCTATCAGAGTGTTCTGTCCTGACAGAGTAACCTTGAAATGATGAAGGAAATTACTTCTCCCATTGCTGCCAAAGTGTGATAGATTGAGCACCATAGCAGAGCTTCTTCCTTCAGATGTGATGATTTTAGTAGAAAGTGATAACTGAAAATACCAGTGTGACATGGAAACAGTGCTTGGAATTGTCAGCAGTAATAATAGGGGATTCACTAAGTGAAGTACCAATGGGAACTGAAAAAAATATGGGCAAGACGTAATGTTGGTGCAACTTTGTAGAATCACAAAATGGTTGAGCTTGGAAGGGATCTGTAGATCTCATCTTGCCCAACTGGTCTTATTCAACCTGCCAGCCCAAAATATGTTGCCCAGGCCCATGTCCAGGCAGCTTATGAAGATCTCTGAGAAGGGAAACTCCAGAATATCCAGGCAACCTGTGTCAGTGCTCCGTCACTCACATATTAAAAAAACTTCCAATTTGTAGATAGAACCTCTTGTGTTCCAGTTTATCTCGTTGCCTCTTACACTGTCTCTCGATACCACCTCAAGGAGCATGGGTATATATACATACACATGGTGTCGCATTGATGATGTCTCTCTCTGAGCCTTCCCTTCTTCAGACTGAACATTCTCAGCTCATTCAGCCTCTTCTGCCTTCATCATCTTGATTGCCATCTTTTGGACTCTTTCCAGCATGGCAGTTTTCTTCTGTAGTAGGCAGCCATGAACTGGACTCAACACGCCAAGTGTGGCATCACTAATGCTGATAAGAGATGAAGCATCATATCTCTGTCTCCTAGTGATGCTTTGCACAATCAAGCCAAGAATACCATTAGCCTTCTTAGCAGGAAGGACACATAGCTGGCTGATGTTCAGCTTGTTGTCCAAACTCGTTAATTTAGAAGATGAGTTGAAGATAGGAGAAAAATGAAGCCGTTTGGTGGACAGAGGAGCACTGTGAGAAAGTTGGGTAAAAAAATTCTGGGAGGAATAAAAAGAGACAATCAATTCAGTAAAAAGCAATGTAAGGAGAAATAAACTTGATAAACTTGATAAGGCTGATGGATATAGCTCAGTTTTCTAGCCTAAAACAGTTCACTGGATGACTGGCAAGTGCTTTGAGAAGTTCGAATGGATAAGTGAATTGGTCCCAAGGCAAGGAGTAAATGTCCTAAGACAATGAGATAGCTAAACCGTTTAATTTTGATTCCAAATTCCATTCCAAACCTGATCTGTACTCATCTAAACAAACGTGAACATTCACTTGTATTATGTTTGAGAGTCATAGTTGAATATAAATGCCAGTTTGTTGTGATTACAAGGGTAGATAGTGATGGGACAAAGGGGAATGACTTCAAACTGAGACTGGGGAGGTTTAGGTTAGATATTAGGAGGAAGTTTTTCACTCAGAGGATGGTGACACACTGGAACAGGTTGCACAAGGAGGCTGTGGATGCCCCATCCCTGGAGGCATTCAAGGCCAGGCTGGATGTGGCTCTGGGCAGCCTGGTCTGGTGATTGGTGACCCTGCACATAGTAGGGGGGTTCAAACTAGATGATCATTGTTGTCCTTTTCAACCCAGGCCATTCTGTGATTCTATGATCACATGATGTTAATTTATTATGATAACTTTAATGAATTCTTTCCATATTTTTATATGTATTTATGCTTTAGAGAGTTTGGTTCTCTTTAGAATTTTTATACATCTCCTTGAAACTGTAGAACTAATCACATTGCTTTACAGTTTTACACAGCATTACAGTTTATGATACAGTCTTAAATCCTATTGTGCTTAGCCAGAGGACAGCAAAATGTTTAATCTTGATTTCAGCCTCATTAGAATTAAGGTATGCTCATGGCCAACAAAACTCTGTAACTGAAATATAAATAACCAAATGATATATAGTTATTTAATACATTAAACAAATGCCTTCTCTCCCTCTCTCTTTAAAGTATTGTAAAAAATATTGTGAAAAAAGTCAATTAACAGATGTTTCTGTGTCTCAGCTCTAAGTTCAGCAGTAAGATACAGTATGTCAATACATTGGCAGAGCTTCGTGAGATGATTCCAATGGAATATGTGCACATACCAGAGAGCATTGTCAAGTAAGTGATGTGCATAAAATGTGTATTTGGTCTAATAGAAGTAATTTTACAAACTAGGAACAGTGTTTCAATGTCTGTAAGAAGAATAGAATACCTCTACCCTATACTATTTAAGATGTTTATGTGTTGTTCCATAAGAACTCCACTATCAAACTCTGAGGTAGGAAACAGTGTGTTTTTGAAACACAAAACACAGTAAGTATGTAATCCTAGGGGAACCAAAGCTTATAGGAAGAAGATTTTGTATTGGACCAAATGATACGATTTATAAAATGAAGACAATCTTTCCATCTCAGTTCCTTCATCATCATGTTTTGCTGAACAAAAAAATCAATTGATTATAAGTGTGCCCATTGGAGGCAAGTATTTTTAAGATGTCACAGTATGAAGCAGACATGTACTCAAATCAGTGGAAAAAGAGCAGATATGTTCAGCTTCATGTTGAGAGAGATGATTGTAGCAAAAGAATACCAAATGCCACTTTAAGCAGTCCGATGTCTCCACTAGCAAGAATAGAAATACCACTATGATCATGAGATGTCCCACCTGCAGCAAGCGTATAGATTTGTGCCAGGATTTGGATTATGTGATTGTTTGGTAGTTTTTACTGAAGTGAGATACAATGTGCCAGCTGTATCATATGAATCTGTATGTCTTTTCTCTTCCTTCACCCACTCTTGTAAGGTATGATGAAGAGAAGTGTATTAAGAGAAGAATGAGGTAAAATTTGCTTTCTAGCCCATGCTGCAGCTTATAGGGAGTAAACCTGTGTGACAGCCAGTCACCAAAAGGTGACCTCAACAGCAGAATGGGAGAGGCCTTGCAATGGTTTGGTATCCTGGTTTCCCCTTCAAGCTGTTGAGATCAGCCTTCTTTGCCAGCGAAACTTACCTATCTATAAATGTCCTTGATTTGGCCCAAGCTGCAGACAGTTTAATTCTTATAAGCAGTTGTATGCTTTCAGCTCTATCTACTGGGCTTGCCTCAGATCTCTGCTGCTTTTATGTTTCTGCCTCCAAATAATATAAAAAATGAGCTAGATATTAAAGGTGAGTTGAGAACAGGCATAAGTATTACCATAATGACTTGAAGAGCTTTAGGGCCAGTGCACAATACTGTGTGCCTATTTTGGAAGCATGCATTATATTTTTTCTTTGCTCTGCTATTGCTCTGCTTCTCTCTTACGCTCTGCTTGCTTCTTTGTTTCTTTATATCAATAACTTTTACTCATGCAGACTGGATGAAGAACTGAGGGAAGCTTCAGAAACAGCTAAGTAAGATAGCTTTCTGCTGGTTGCTAGCATTGTATTTCTTTGGTTCACAGAGATGGATTGAATGCTGTAGTATGTTACATGTTTGGTACAGCAGTCTGTTCATAATTTCAAGTACTGCGGAAGTTGCCACATTTGTGAATTGACTTCCCCTCTCACTATAGGCAACCTGCTATATCTTACAGTCTAAGAAGTGATACTCTTAGACTATAAAAAAACCCACGTTTTTTGCTACTCTTGTAATTGTTTCCATAGTCATGGGGAAGACTAAAGTTACTTTTTTACACTGTCAAAGATTTTTATTACATATTTTCTCTCCTTTGTATGTTGGATGATTAATATAAACTTGGGAAGATAAATCTTCTTTAAAACTTGTTTTACAATTTATGAAGGTAATAATAGCTATTGTACTTATTTCTCAGCTTTTTCTATATCTTTTCCTGTCTTCCTGCTATTGTTTGGAAGGGCTGGTGGATTAATGCTTTATAATGTTGTATCACTATAAGGTACCTTAACAAGTCAGTGACAGATGATGATCAGCTATTTTAAACATGGAATTGTACTCCGAGTTTGAGATGCTAAGGCAGTGCCTTGTAAAATATCTTAGAAATCTTTTATCTGGAAGGACACAGTCTTTGATTCATTAAGCTGAACTTATGAACAATTTGTGCATTGTACTTCTTCCATGTGTGCATTGTACACGAGATACCAGAGAAGGGAGCTCTGCCAATCAGTTCAAATATGACATTTTTACTATAATTTTATAACAACCTTTTGGAGGTTTAATTTCAACCTCCTTCTTTTAAATTATGGACTTGAGAATTTTCATCTTACAACTTCTTCATTGTGTTTTCTCTCCTTTTGTGTGGTACGTATTTTCCTCAACTTCTCCTCAACAATGTACTCAACTTAGCTTTTAAAATGTCTCTCAAGAAATGCTACAAACTCTTGCAAATACTTTTTGATTCTAGCAATTCAGCTGCCTCAGAAGCAGTACATTCATGTAGCTAGTTATCTGATATCTGATATCACCTGGATATTTTATTAAACAAAAAAGCACGCAACTGCTTTCTATTCAATCATTTTCAAGTACACTGAACTGTGATAACTGTGGTGAAAAGCTTATTTCTTGTTAAGCTTCTGATTTAAAACAGTGCAGGCTGCAGCATAACAAGTGAAAGGGGAACTGAATACGCACACGAGGCAACACTTGCTGTTATTATGGTTGGATGTACGAGGTAACTGTAGTGCTTTTCCCCTCCCCAGCTTTAATGGCTTGAAAACTTAATACACAAACTGATTGGTGTTACTAAGCTCTCTAAATTTCTATCACTAATGTTTTTGTTTTTGTGCAGTCAAAGTTGCTTGCTACAGTTAAGTCATTACATCCCCTAAATTTGTTTTTGTACTTAAATAGAGAAATAAACACAGAAGAAATGTTTACTGCTTCCTCTTTTTCCTTGTGCCCAGAACTAGCTGCCTCTCAAACGATCCAGAAATGACTTCAGTGGAGCAGGAGTAAGAATTTATGTCTAATACAATCATTTCATTACAGTATTATTTCACAACCATGCTTCTAGGAATAGAGACTGGGTAGACTCCATAAAGTTTTCTGGAGAACTAAATCATTTTACATTTGTTTTCAGGAACTTGATTCGATATATCCAAGTAAAAAAACACCACAATTGAGATTTTTTTGTTTGCATTACAGATGTCTTTGAAGTGTCCTTGGCCATTTTCAAACAGAGATAGATGTAGTCGTTATTCTGAGGATATTCAGGTTGTGTGAAAGACTGAAATAAGAAGTTCAACATGATCAGGGTGAAGTTGATGTCATGCATTCTTCTCAGTTAAAGGGTGATAAAATTGCCTTTCTTACTAGGAAGTTTGAAAAGTCTAAGTTTTCTCTTTAATTTCTGGATTATACCCTCAATACCTTTCTTGTCTTTTCTTTATGTGCTTAAAAGCTTGCTTCCCCCCCCCTCTCCTTTCTCCCCCCCATAAAGTTATTTCCCTAATGACATCTCCATTATCTTCATTTTATTAGTTTTCAAAGCCAAAATGATTCCTTTGGAAATAGGAACGTGTTTTTCTGTCCTCTCGCAAACTGTTCTTCTGTCTGATGTCATGACTAAACATGCAAGTGAAAAACCCTGTACTGTTTTACTGTGCACTGGTGGGACTGTTTTAGCCATAGCTGGTCACAACGCACGAAAAGTTTGTTTGATTGGACAGCAGGAGGACTCATCACTGCAGTAGTCTGTACATTGGTGATGAGTGTCTCCACAGAAGTGACTTGACTTTGCTGTCCCTACCCCTGTGTCCTGAACTGAAATACTGTTCAGAAAATAGCAGGCACCTAACTCTTCAGTAAAAGATCCCATCAGGAAGTGAATTTGAAGGAACTAAGCAATTGACTAGAAAGCAGACACATAAATAACATGGAGCTTCTTTTGTCTCTTTTTTTTCAAATAAAGTTGTGTGTCAATCAATCAACCACCACAGGTCAGAACTATAAATTAACATTCTGATTCCTAGAGCAGTTGACATAAGATCTCTAAAGATCTTTTTCCTTTTCCCCTCAGACACAGTTTATTCTGTAATGAGTCAATATGAGAAGCATTTTTTGTAAAGAGAATGGAGAATAAATAATATATTGAAGACTGTATTTATGACTTAAGCTTTTTGATAGCTTGAAAAAATCTTCTGAGACTAGAATTTTTACTTAGCTCAAATAAATACAGTTGAGACTGAATTAATGCTAGTTGTTTTCTCTCTCTAAATATGTATCCATTTTCAGAAGTGGCAATGATTTCTTCTGCAGTCGTATCACTCATTTGTGGAGTAGTTTCTGTGGGAAATAAGATTATCTTCACAGTGATCATGGCAGTTTTACACAGCTTTTTTGTCTGTATGCTTTCTGCTGAAATCTCTCTGGAGTCTGCCCAACTATTAGTTTTCTTCTGCAGCCTTTTTTTTATGTTTCTTGTCATCCTGTGTGCTATTTTGTTTTAACATCATGCACTGCCTCATGACATTTTTTAAAATGTGCATTATGAAATTCCACAGGAAAGAATTACACGTGTTCTCTTCCCAGGTGGTGAATATTCAGAATGTTGTTTAAATAGTTACACATTCTAAGAGGGAAATGGTGTTTGCAATATTTGTGATGACAACTTTTTATTGTATAGAAAACTTCAAAAGAATTTGATGACGTTGTTTTTACTATATGGCAAAAACATAGTCCTGGAGATGTGTTTACAGGCATTCACTTCTTACCATACAGTTCTGTCATTCCATCAGCATGTATTTCCACATCACATGTCCAGTGCTACTCAGATTGAAATTGCTGGAACGTAGTTACTGAAGCAAGCTAGCAGTAGCAGTTCCTGATGTACTTTCTACATGAGGCAGATAGGATCTGTGTAAATTGACACTGACACATTTAATATAAATGAGAGATGAGGATGCCCAACGTTTTATGGGAGCTTACAATTGCAGAAATGACCAACCATGTTTTCTATCCTACTGATTTATTTTCTTTTTCATTTCTTGTTGTTTTTTAACATACAGGCTTGACATGACCCTGAAATAAAAAGCATCACTGCCAGATCTTTGAAGAAGAGGACTTTCATCGCTCAGACACCCATGATCATGGTGTACAATAGGAAATTTGATTCATTTTGCTTGTGATATAATTTTTTGATGCCATTTAGCAATCCAAGAAGATGAAACAGGCCCATCGTGTTGCCTTGGAAACAAGAAATTTGGAGCTGGCTATTTTTTTATTTTCAGAAATAGAGTTTTTGTTAGAAAAGCTATAACATCTAGTATTGGTTTCTGTAAGTGTATGCAAATTCTGTTTCAGATTATAGAATTTTGCAAACATTATGCCTCATGAATGAGTCAATGAGGACATAGATTTTTATTTAGTTTTTGTCTTCAGCATAGTACTGTTTCTGCATAGCAGAGCAAAATAGTTATTATTACAATAAATATTAGCATAGTTGTTTCACACAGCAGCAGCAACCTTATTGTTCCAGAATGATTCTAAAAACGAAGCAGGATTTCAGTGAGTGTGTTTTTCTCTTGGTGTATGAAAAGTTCTTCCGTATTCTTTTAAAACTAATGACTTTTTATTTGGCCACAGGAGAGCCTGTGTACTAAAAATCATAAGTGTTTAAAAAGTTTCCCAGATCAAAAATTGCTGACAAAACTTAGTTTCATTTTAATAATTTTGTTCAGTGTCTTTATCTTAAGGACAGGTTTTACAGAAGCAGCTAATCCTTTAAAAGTTTATCAAATGATCTAAGATCCTTGAAAGATTGTTTCATTATTGTTGTTTTTTAAAGCCTGTTTTTCCAGAACATTTTTAAGTAATGAATCTCCAAATGGCATCCTATCTGGAATCACAGCAGTTGCTAATGCTATGAATACAGAACAATTACTTAGTACTTCTCACAATTATTTATTAAGAGGAGATGTCAAAATATTATTTGGAGTCTATTTAATATCAAAAATACTTATTGCAATGCCATTTGTTGTCTGTAACACCAGTATAAACATGAAAAAGAAAAAGACCCAAGCATTTCATCTTTTGCTGCTGTCCTACACACATGAAATGCACCGCATTAAGTTCTGACATTCAAATGCAAAGCAACTTCAGTGTCTCAGACTATTCCCCTGCAGAAGAGTACAGATCAATACTTGAGCGAATACCGCTTGTCTGCTTTTGAAAGTCAGGGGTCAAAAGTATAACTGATGCTTTCTTGTTCCCAAATGGACATATGCATGCACTTGCCAAACCTTCTGACTCAGTTTCCTTTTGAGATTAAAAGTAGCTTATCATCAGACTTTCTATATGAGCGGATAGTGATAGGATATAGGGGAATAGTTCTAAACTAAAAGAGTGGAGAGATAGGCTAGGTGTGAGGAGGAAATTTTTTCCTCAAGTAGTGGTGAGGCGCTGGCACAGACTGCCCAGAGAAGATGTGGCTGCCCATCCCTGGAGGTGTTCAAAGCCAGAGCGGGGGGGGCCCTGGGCAGCCTGAGCTGGTGGGGGCAGCCCTGCCCATGGCAGGGGGTTGGGGCTGGGTGATCTTGAAGAACCCTTCCTTAAGATCCCTTCCTTTCTTTGATTATATGTGCTAATGGAAGTAGCAGAATTATGTACTCCTGAGCTACTGTTCTCATCTTTGAGATTTTCATGCACCTGAGAATTGTGTCTTGCATTTGCAGAAAAGTGGTCTGCAGGGAAGGGAGCAGATGTATTCATCACAACATGCAGAGTTGTTCAGCTATTGTAACAAAGAGAGACTAAATTGTCAGAAAGACAGGAAGTTGCCAAATGCTTACTTATCTGCCAGCAACTAAACTGAATTGTCTGTAAAGCTACAGTCCTTCTCAGTACTGACAGGCTGTGCATCATGTCTGTCATTCTGGGTACTCTGTTTTATCACATCTTTCTGTCAGTTCCCTCTTTCACATTTAAGCAAGGGACAGATCCTGCTGACTGTTGTTGCTGCTCTATATCCTGATCTTATCATCATTAGGATCTGATAGGTTTCACAGTTTCTCAGATATTTTAATCTTGGCTTGTGTCTGCCTTATAAGTGCTGTCACTTAGAATATTGGGGATAATGCTTTATGTACAAATAAATATTTGTATTACCTTCCAGATGCTATTTAAGCTTGATCTAGATCTGAAGAGCATTTTATAGCATGAAGCCACATCTTCTGTAAACTTGTAGTTCAAGCAGTTGACATGTATAAGGCTGTAGATGAGAGAAATGCATCTCTTTGCCAGAAGAGACATTCACTGCAAAGCAGAGTTCAGCAGAAATCTTCATGTCTTTGACATGTCTTTGATATGTCAAAGACATGAAAGATATTATGCCCCATTTTATGGTAGATGTCAGCTTGGAGGTGAATTTCAATCTAAAGACTTTATATAAAATCATTAAACAGCAAAATTACATGTGAATTAATTTGATTAATGGTGGTAGACTAATAATGACAACCTGAGACGGTAGAAGTTTGTTTAAGCCAAATGTCAAATTATCAATGTGATATTGCGTAAATGATTGCAAGAACAAGATGTGGTTATCTCTGCTTATTAATGTATTTTAAAAAGTTTTTTTTAATGTTATGATATGGCAATTATGTATTATTTAACAATAATAAACCAATATTAATAAACGAGTAGTTTGTTGAGAAGGAAACATAGTACATGTAATTGCACAGATATAGTCTTTTATATACAGATCTTTTCTACTGTATACGAGAGTGCTCACATAAAATATAAATCAATAGTTGCAACTTTCTTCTTCTTTTGTTAAAAGACCTATACTGTCTTCAATTATAGATTAAGCAATACAAAGATATCTGATATCATTGTATGCATATATTTATGTGAATCAAAAATAAAGAACTGCAATCTGCCACTGGAAGTATGTATTTTCAGCTTGAATTTTTTTTTTCTTTATTCCTTGGGCACATGGAAACATTTGACAGTTTCAATTCACAGTTCTTTGCATAGTAATAACTATAACTATAACTATAACTATAACTATAACTATAACTATAACTATAACTATAACTATAACTATATATATATATAAATGTACTGCTTTTACTTGTTGTTTCATAGCTTAAATTAAGGCAATCCTATTTCTCCTGACTTTGCTCTCTACCTTCATGCATAATGTCTTTGCTTTGCTGATAATAGTAACACAGTTCTTGAAAAATCTATGAGGACCTCCTCAAGTTGCTGTCTAGTTTGTGTCTGCACTATTATTTAAAAATCAAATGCATGAATAATCTCATTCCATCCTATATGATAGACAGAAACCAAAACTATGTCAGAAATGTGTAAACTGTAGCACTTCAATAAACTTTTTTACTTCACAGTGGAGGGGGCAAGTCAGGTAGAGCTGATGACTGTTCAGTCCTCCTACCTAGCTGGTCTCATACAACCATTCCTCTCCCAGTCTATTTAAATCTCAAACTGGTCAGTTTACACTGTCAGTACTTTAGAGCCTGGTGACTATTTTTACAATTGGATCAGAGCACTGAGTGGTAATTTGCACCAGGTAGGAGCTAAAAGATGATAACCTATGGCTTCTTAATTGCCACCCACCTGCAAGCAACTCTATAAATGCTCCTATAGACTAGGCTATTTCACTGTGAAGTCTTTGATAAGTTTGAAGAATTGCTAAGTCTGAGGATTGATCATTTAGTGCTTAAATTGGACATCAGAAGCAGGCTTAAATACTGCCATGTCATACACAAGAGTTGCTAGATTTCAAGAATGTTTGCTTGTCTTTCGGTTTCTATGATCTTTCTGCAGGTACTTCCAGTATAATTCAAATGTACCTTAAATGTTTTGTTCTGGTTATCCCCTTGTCATTTGGAATCTATTTATACCCTAAACTGTGCAGATTTAAATGGTTGCTCTTAGTTCTGCTGTAGCACTGTAGCTGGGAGAGCTGTGGGTCATCCTAATACCATCAGTCATTGTTGTCAGAGCAGTCTAGCAGCTGAATGGAAAATACATTGCTGAATGGTAAATTAACATCGCTATTTTCCTGAATTTTTCACTTTCTGCTTCCCTGCCTCTCAAAGATTTATATTCCTGTTAGCTCAAGCCATCAGAGCTAAAACAGAAATTGATGTTGTGGATTGTTTTCTGTATTAGAGAACTAGTTTAATAAGTTTGTGAAACTGTGTGTAAGAAGAGAGCAATGGCTATTGTCTGCCTGGACTTCAGAAGGAGTGATGATTAGAGAGCATCCAAAAGATGGCAGTGAAGATGGTGAAGGGTCTGGAGGACAAGATGTGTGAGGAGTGGAAGAGGTCTCTGGGTGCGTTCAGCCCATAGCAGGGCAGGCTGAGGGCAGGCCTGATGGCGGCTGCAGCTCCTCACAGGGAGCGGAGGGGCAGCGCTGAGCTCTGCTCTGTGTGACAGCGGCATGGAGCTGTGTGAGGGGAGGGCAGCTGGGGGTTGGGGACGGGTTGTGCACCACAGGGCAGTGGGCATGGAACAGCCTGCCCAGGGCAGTGGGCACGGCCCTAAGTGCAGTAGATTAAGGAGTGTTTGTATAACGCTCTCAGGTTTTGAATTTTGGGTGATCCTGTGCGGAGTTGAACTCCATTATCCTTGTGGTTCTCTTTCAATTTGGGATGTTCTGTGATTTACCAGAGGATCATGCTGCCATTCTGAGAGACCTGGAAAGGTTGGAGGCATGATATGACGATAACTTGGGAATATTAACAAGGACAGTGCGTTGTCCCACACCTAAGGGGAAGAAGTCCCAAGCAAATGTAGATGTTGAGCCTGCCCAGAATGGAAAGCAGTTTGGTAAAAAAGGCCCTGGGATATCCAGGTGTATTCCAAATTGAACACTGGCTGGCAGTGTACCCCTCTCACAAAGAAGTTTTACAATATCCTGAGACGTATCAAGCAAGGTATCACTAGTTGGTGGAGGGATGTGATCCTTCCCCTCTGCTCAGCACAGGTGAGGCCACCTGGAGTCCAGTTCTGGGGTCTACAGTACAAGAGAGACATGTACATATTGCATAGAATGCAATTAAGAGTCACAAGAAGGTTTAAGGGACTGTAGTATTTCCAGGAGATGTGGATAAGCTGGCTGAACTGTTCAGCCTGGAGGAACCTAGAGGAGTATTATCAGTGTTTAATACCTGAAGGGAGGGTGTGAAAAGGATGGTGCCAGAATCTTTTCAGTGGTTCCCAATGGAACAGAGGCAATGGGCATAATCTGAAACACATGAGGCTCTGCCTCAGCATTAGAAAACACTTACTTAGTGTTCAGATGACAGGGTATGAGCACAGGTTGCCCAGAGAGATTGTGGAGTTTCCCTCTTTGGAGATCTTTAAAAGGCCGGTCTTCAAAAACGTGATCCTGGGCAACCTGCTCTGGGAGCTGTGCGTGAGCAGAGAGCTGGGGCCACATGATCTCCAGAAGTTCATTCCACCTTCAATCGTTCTGTGATTCTGTAAAGCTCAATTAAGGTATAATGAAAGATGATTTTTTTTTTGTTTTTCCCCACAATCTCAATTAAGTTGTGCTCATCTGCTTACACTCCTTTTCTCTTAGCTTTCATTCACCCAAACTATCATGCCCATATACACAGAAGTACCAGGATTTATGTACTGAGGTGTTCTAATCATGAACAGTTGTTTAAGACAAGTCATTAAGGCTACCAACTCCTCATTATGCTCCATTTTTATTATAATTTACTTTTTTATTACTTTATTTATTTTATGTTTACTTCAGAGGGCAAACTAATTTCTGAATGTGGTGATTTTGACTCATCTGTACAATTTTGGAATCAATAGCCATTAGTGTGTGGTCAGTCTGCCCTGTGAAAAATTTGGGATGTTAAAATTGCACCTCTGAGACTTAAACATGTTAGTACTGAGGGCTTGTGGCCTTGCTAGCTGCGTATTTTGTGAGAAATAAAAAGTCTACAATTGTGGATTGACAGGTTTGTAGTTTCTGACTGTTAGAAGTCCTCCTCAATTTCCTATCAGTACCACTATTAGGAATACAAGACAGGTCCCACATTCTGATAGCTGTATCATCATATGTAGTTATTTCTT